CATATATGTATAAAATGATGCATACGTGCAGCTTAAGGCATGTATGTAGGCATACAGAGAACACTTCACACAGTTTTAGGGAAGGAACTGAACATGCACCTGCTGCCTGTTGTCGCCACTGATGCTCATACTGAACAAAAGTCGAATCCATCAACTGTCACCCGCAGTGACAACAGCTCAGTAACTCACTCCAGAATAAAGCATGCATGTATTAAACCTTGGGAAACTAACATCTGCCACAATATGACTATTTTTCCACTCTCTATGAAAACACATGAGAAGCCTGACTTTTGTAATAGAATACTCTTTTATATCACTGAATAACAGAACAGACTTGGCTAAAGTGATGCTTTTATACAATTTTGATCCTCTCTAAAATACTTTCTGGTTTTGTAAGGGACTTCAATGCTAGATTTAATACCAAACCATGCCTAAAGGCTAATTGAAAGCAGTTAATGACTCTTTTTTTTTTTTTTTTTGGAGCAGGCCATTTAAGTACATCCAAGTGGTTTTCTTGGTTTCCTTCCAAGAAACATCCCATAAATGCCGTCTTTTGTAGAAATTGAAAAGTGAATTATCCTACGATACACAATTCAGTTTGGATGTAAAACGTTGTTGGTTATTTTCTAAAAGGGTGCCTTTGAGAGCGGCTCACAACACCAAATACACATACTGTAGTCAAAGCAAAACCTGAGACCTGTGCCAATTTTATACTTCTGTCACAGAGTCAGGTACAGAACTGCACAAATTATCAGTCATCTTTGCAAGGGAGGAAGAAGAAGACAATAAATATGATGAAAAAGAGAATGCAGTTAATTCTAAAAGATAGTTTTAAATAGGATCACTGCTTTAAAGCAGTTAATATCAGAAATGCCTTCATTGTCCTATGGTGGGGAATTTCAGACATAAAAATGAGTAGACAGATATAAGACATATGTAAGTTGCACTCAAGACTGAAATAAGAAACAATACGAAAGTAATTAGATTAATTAGGAAAAAATGTAAGTATGTCTCCTGACACTTTGGGGAGGATATTGGTGGTGCTTTAAAAAACAGTGTTGGAATAAAAAAAAAATATAAAGAATAAAAATGCTGGTCAGCATCAAAAACTAATGCTGGTTTGGCTACTATTAAATAAATATAAGTTTTATGAATCTTCAAGTCCCCACCTGTACTCCTCTTGTCTTTGGTAAAAAATGACTGGATCAGCCTGGGAAGATGTTTCAGTTGCAAACTTGTTAAATTTTCAACCAAACACAATCACTGCTCTGATCCAGGACCATGAGAAGTCTTCATATGGATGGAGTGGATTGGCTGGTCATATGAAACGATCAGAAGAAGTCCAAGCAGAGGCAATGTGTCCTGCGGCAACCCCCAAAAAACTGCTGACTGTCTTTATCTCTGCCATTATTTGGTCTGTCCTGTGCATGTCCATGACTCTCTGGTTTTGCTCATCCAATAAACTGGAGAGGTCCATGCTGGTATCAACAGGTAGTTGTACATAGATGATTATCAAAGCTGACCTTCTCTTCATTTAAGACATCTGAGAGAGTCAGTAAAGGGCAATTAACATTTCTGCAGACCCCAGACATCCTGGCACAAACTGATTAGACTTTATATATATATATATAAACTCTTCCTCCCCCACCGTGGGGGGTCTCTCCCCATTTTTTTCCCCTCCAAAATCAGGTGCTCTACCAGAGGCCTGGGAGCTTGAGGGTTCTGCGCAGTATCTTTGCTGTTCCTAGAACTGCAAAAACGTTGTTTTGTCCTTGGGCAAGACACTTCACCTGCATTGCTTACTGATGGTGGTCAGAGGGCCCAGTGGCACCAGTGGATGGCAGCCTAGCTTCTGCCAGTGAGCCCCGGGGCAGCTGTGGCTACAATGAAGTTTGCCAAAATCAATGTGTGAGTGCATATGTGAATTTCTTATATTTTAATAGCTTTTTATCACCTCAAAATGTTGGCCTAAAAAGACAGTTCAATAAACACAGTTTATGAATCGATGAAACGACCAAAACGATATACAAACTGTCATCAACAGGAGCATTTAGTATAATGAAGTAGGTAGCCTAACTCTTTATGTTTTGCCAGTGGTATGTGTGCACCATGTGTTATTTGATTTAATGATAATACTAGTCATTTATTTAGCACTTAGTTGCAGTTTTGTAAATGTGTGCAGCAGCAGAGGCATATCAATGAAATAGGTTTCTAATTTGTCAACCATTATTTTACTTGACAAAAAATTATTTTTGCAACCTGGCTTAGATCAATTTGATCAGATGTCTGGAAAGGTAAATCTCTATTAGATTTTTACATTGTATTTGTAGGTTCTCTTTGGACTAAAATCAGCAATTAATTGTAAACATTGAACAGGGCTGTCTTCTAAACAACATTTGTAGATTTAAAGGTTTTCAATTATATGGTATTGATTATGATGACAGCTTACTCAGACAATTAGCTCAGTTTCTCCATTTTCATGTAAGCTGGTTTAAAGCTGTTAAATACATTTTACAAATACAATAAAAGTGGCAGGTAAAGATAGATACCAGCAAATTACTTTGGTATTTTGGTCTTTCTTTTTTTTTTTTAAACCAAACCACGGGAATAATCTAGATTGAAATTAAGAAATATTGTACAAAAGCCAGGATGTACCCAACCTCTCGCCCATAGACTTCCAGAGATAGGCACCAGCACCAGTGTGAGTCTGATGGGATAATGGTGAGAAGATGGATGGATGGATGGATGGATGGATGGATGGATGGATGGATGGATGGATGGATGGATGGATGGA